TTGCATTTGTTCATGGGTGGCAATAATGGGTCATACTCAGAAAAAGTGTACATTTTAAATTTTGTAACTAAACTAATATGTAACGATACTGAGAATATTCGTAACGAAACTAATCTCATAAGGTATAGTACACATTAAACTAAGTACAAATTATAAATTGAACTAATAAAACACTTGTTTGGTTTAATTAGTCCTATTTGTATTAATTGAAATAATATTTAGACTAACCAAAATTATAATTTTCTAAAAAATTTACATTGGTGAATTAGATAATACTAGGAATAAACGGAATGTTAACAAATATTAATATTTTATATATTTTAATTATAAAAAAACGTGATGTCGGAGGAATGTTCACGAGATCAAAATGAGGTCTAATTATTTATTAAAAGATATCAAAATTTGAGTCATTTTCACTGGAATCATTATGATTATTATTTTTAAATAAATATATATTATCAGGGGTAGGAAAAAATATTTCGAAGACATGTGTAGTTCGCCAAAACGCATTGGGGCAGCGCGTCAGATACTTCCTGTGCCCAGCAGTAGGACGTATATAGGCTGTAACTTTACTTTTACTTTACTTTATGGGTAGGTTCAATCTTATGCCCTGACGAGACTCCTGGTGAAGCAAAATTAAAATATCGTTGATTGTCTGGATACAATATAATATCCGATAAAATAGTGACTTTATTTTTGTTTTTTTTTTGTAATGTCTGATAACAGCGAGTTACTTTCTTCATTAATATAGGGACTATTGTCAATTTCAGCATAAACGACTTCTTCATCAGTGTCAGATGATTCGCAATCAAATTTTATACTCTTTTTACCTATCTTTGGTGGTTTATTCTCCTTTTCTCTTGTTACTTGTTTATATCTATCAGACGTCAATTTTAGTTTCTGAATATCCGGAACATTAGATGTTCTTTTACATCCATTTCAACACTTTTTTCTATCATAATCTTCTTTCTTCCTTTAATTTATATATCATAATCTTCTTTCTTCTTCTTTCCTTTTTTTGAAATATTCAACTTTTGATGAAATAAATACGAATTAGACTAGTTTTACTTATTTATTAATTAAATTGATTTTATTGACTTCGTTGTTTTATTTGCAGTAAAGAAAAAAACTGCTAGAAAATAGTAAACACCACAAGGACGTATTATAACGACATATTAAACGTTATTTTAGTAGTAGTAAGTAATTACATACTTAACTGTTTTTGTCAACTAAGCTTAACAAGTTCTCAGTTTCGTAACGTTACGCAATATAACGAAATTGAGAATAAAATCTGAGAAATTATAACCTTTAAAACTATTTTTACGTAAACCAAGTGTTGCACAAACAAACACCGAGTGTATTCGTTATGATATTACAAAAAATATAAAAGGATTTATTTAGTAAACAAAAATTATAATAAACTTTCCAAAATAATAGCTGTTTATCACCCTGAGATAGTTTTTGTGAATATTCACGTGATACCAAATTTTGAGTCCACGGTTGCGACTAAAACACAATGGCCATGGCGGCAATAATTTTGACGTAGTTACTAGAGTTGCCGAAATGGAAAAACATATTTCTACTCTTTTAAATAAATGCGTTCTTAATTTTTTACACGTTACGAAACATGAGTAACGTACCGTTATAATTTTGGAACACTATTAATTTAATTAAAATAAATTATTTTTGAAATAACTTATGAATGAATTAGGTCTAGTTTAATTGCTTGATTCAGCAGGAGTAATATGGCCATAGCCATATTGAATTAAGCTTGTTAATATTTGTAACAATTTGACTCTGAAAAAGTTAAATGGTCCCAGTGGGACGCTAAAAAAAATGTTAGATAGCATTTTTACAAAAAGAATGATTTCAATAAATTTATTCTTTTGCTAAAGATTAAGGTTAAAATACCGAAAAATTCTACACAATAATAGACTAATATAACAACAAGGGGAATTGTTTTTATCATAATTATAAAATTTGAAATTTATTAAAATATGAGTTCGTGGGACAAGAAAAGATAACAAATGTACATCTTTACCATCAGGTAAGCCGTGTGCTCATTTGCCCCTTTTCCATAAAAAAATTGAATATCAAAGACTGAAGAAAGAGTTGTAAATTTCTACAAAATTTATTCATTTTCGACCGAAGACCTCTTATATTCGGACGTTTAAATAAATTAAATATATACGTTGAAATATAGTATTGACGGTTAAAAAACAACACTTTCCGAGAGAGCAAAATGTGTAAAAAGTCGAGTCGGTATGTTGAAATTTAAATAAGTTATACGTCTAATTTTAACAAATATAACATATGTTAGTATACACCAACTGCACACTGAAATGATCGGGAATAAGAAAAAACCACATACACGGTATAGCTAAATTGTATTTAATTGTTTTTCGAAGTTTTCTCCGTTCAACTTAATGCACTTTTTCATTTGTGCAAACCAATCATTAAAACAGTGATTCCAGTCTGAGGTTGATGTTGACAAAATGGCTGATTTGTACGCTTCCACAGCTGCTTCGGGGTCTTCGAACCGTTGACCGCGTAATAAATCTTTCATTCTAGTGAATGTTAAGAAATTGTTTGAACTCAAGTCAGGACTGTACGGAGGATGGCTCATCCGCTCAACGTTTTCCTGCTTCAAAAAATCATTTGTCTTTCGAGCCGTATGGGAGCTCGTACTATCGTGATGTAAAATGATGCGACGTTTCGGATTATTTTATCGGAGTTCGGCTATCATTTCTGACAAACAAACCATGTTATACCACTCAACGATAACCGCTCTGCGTTCCTGTAAAGGAATTGTACTAACATGCCCTTTATTCGAGACAAACCTAGCGACCATTTTCTTTGACACGTTGCGAGAGCGAACCACTTTCGTTGGAAGACCCAAACTGCTGACTGATGTTTTTTTTTCAGGTTCGTATGAATAAATCCATGATTCGTCACCTGAGACGATATTATAAACCGCATTTGACTTCCCTTCGTTGAAGCGTTGCAGAGTATTCCAGCACCAATCTACACGAGCCTTTTGCTCTTCGGACAAATTGTGGGGAACCCAGCGGGAAACTAGCTTGTGTAAGAACACAGCTTATTGTATAATAATTATCGTCATTACGATAACGATAACAGCCCAAATCTGCTCGTATGCCACATGACGGTCATCTAATATAATAGTTTGCACAGCTGCGATGTTTTTGGGCGTGAACGCTGTTCTTGGTCGATCCGCAGAAGAAACAGTGCTGAACGACACACGACTGCGTCGGAACTTGGCATATCAGCGGTATATTGCCGTTTGAATCGGTGCTTTAACATCATAAATCGAAACAAGTTCGCTGAGACATTTATTTGGAGATAAGCCGCGACGAAAATTGTGATAAATTATGGCACGGAAATGTTCACGCGTGAGCTCCAATTCTGTTAACGACGTGTCAAATTTAAACCAAAATAGTTTTTGTTTTTAAACATTTTTTAAACGTTTGAATGTCATTAAGATTCTAAGAGCTCAGTATTCAAATTCTAAAAAATGTTTTTTGTAACTCAATCTGAAATATTCTATTCACGATCATTTCAGTGTACCCAAGCGTAACTAAATTCTGCAGTGAAGTATATAAAAAGTGCTTATGCAGTGTATATAGAGAGAAATAACTTAAAAAATATTAATATAATATAAACTAGTACATTGGGCGCAGTTTACTCCTTCGGGAAATTGATGTGACTATTTTGACATAATATGTATTTAAAAAGACAATTGAGTAGTGTTATTGGTAAAATAACATTTAAATGTTTTCTTTGATTCAAAATCGGTCAAATTTCAAACAGAAAAAATATTCTCTATTTGTAGGTAACAAACGAATAGCAAACTATGTAACAAAATATCAACTTTATAGTATTACTTTACCTTCTTTAGATTTGAACTCATAGGAACAATAGTAAAAGTAAACCGTACAGACCCAACCAGTGGTTTCAAAACATCTTATAGTTTTATTAAATTTTTTCATTACATTTTAAAATCCTTTCTTAATTTATCGACAGGATGGGAGATGTTTATTACAAGGATTTACGTGGTAGACCAACGCTGCAGCTATATTATGGTTGTAGCACGAATGGGTCGGCTCGATCCCGGAAGGACCACGCTTTCACAGAATACCAGCGTAAAATAGCAGCCTAATACTGCTGTGTTTCGTGTGGTGAGTGTAGAGATTCAGAGATCCTTTTTTACTGAAAACGAGGCATATGGAATGCCTCGTTTCCAGTAAAAAAGGATCTTATTCTTAGTCCTCAGGGGTGACAACGTTTCTGCGTTTTGATTCTTAATCGATGATTAATGTAGATGTATATTGCTATGTAGTCGTTTGTCACTTTTCTCTATAAAAAATAAAATATGAACTGCAAGTTTTTTTCTTGAGCAACTGTCTTAGTCTTATTAAGTAAAATTATGTTGTAGGCAGATAAGTGATCATTTACAAAAATACAGTTTTTGCATTGTAGACCTATAGCAATGCGGTGAGCGGAGGCATAGAAGAATATTATCTTCTAGCGGCAGCAACGAAGTCTTCTTTTACAAAACGATTGTCGAAATATACAATTGGATTAACACTATTTGGATCTCGATTAAGCACTTTGGTGACGTATTTAATTTGACTTTTAGAGAGTGTGAAATACACCTTGGAGGCAATGGAAATAACTACTAAGGCAATGGAAATAACTAATAGGTGAATATTTTTTTGGAGAATTATTGAATGACGTTGTTCGTTTGGGCGTTATATTTTTGGAGCTAAGTGAGATTATCCTTCAATATATAAATGATAATAATAATAATAATAATAATAATAAGGCGTAGGGAAGTGACGACCCCATCGCCCGCTGATGTAACAGTTAAATGACAAAACTGCTACGTCGGTGCAGTCAGTCAGCGCCTTGCCAAGAGGTGTAAGCCCCGTGACTCGGCGGTACTCAGGGTGCAAAGGCCCGTTTGTGCTTACGGCCGTACAATGATACAATTAAACGGTGCCGGGCCTGGGCGTCTCCCGCTAATTGGCGCCCAAAAATGGATGATGGATAAGATTGGAAAACGTATAGGGCCGCTGCCTGGAGGTCGCCGGGGCGCGTCTGGAGCTGGCGCTGGACGCGGCAGCATGCGGGCCGCCAGCCGAGCGCGAGGAGCTGCAAGATCACCTAACAGCCCCCCGCATCCATCATCCCCACCAGACGGCTTGATGTCGGCAGGGTCCTCTCGGACTCGGCAAGCGGCATCCGCCGCTGGTGGAGTGCGCCGCATGCGTTGGACAAGGGATATGAACGCAAACGCATTGCGGGCGTACTATAGGGCGAAAGGGGAAGAAACTGCGGGAATAGCGTATCGAGCTTGGATGCATTGCTTTTTTGCTGAGCTGGAGCCGTCTATTCCCGTCACGAAACAAAACCTGGCGTTCATGCGCTCGAAAATATTCGACGATGCCGAGCTCGAACGACTACGACGTGAGGCCATTCCCTCATCGAATGAATTGGCTACGGCTGGGGATGAGGCTCCTCAATGGCGACAGACCAGCTGCCACGCGTAGAAGCCACCATGGATTTTCCAGTTGTGGGTGATTCAGACGATGATGAAATGGTCTCCCACGAACTAGAGCAAATGAGGAGTATATTGGAAGAGGCGATTTTGGAAACGCGCAGCATGCCTCTCAAAAATCGACGGCGACTTCCCCCGCATACCCCTAAGCAGGCGAAATCGGGCTATCGTGAGGGCTCTTAACCCAATGCTGGTAACCTATTTGGAAGCCAGCCGGGACCTTTGCGAGACGGACTCAGTTCTTTTTGGCGCCGCAGTAGCAGCTTGTCGTATTATTGGCGCCAAACTTCGCATGGCTGGATGCGCTACTAAACAAAGTAGCGCCATCCCAGCCTGGAGAAAAAGAATTGAGGACCGTATCGCAAAGGCAAGGGCCCTTATCGGCAGACTGATAAGCTTCAGGTCGGGTAATAATAGACCGAGGGTTGTGCGCACCGTTAGAATGGCGTTTGCTGGGACAAATATCAGTTTGTCCCAGCCGGATATCACGCAGAAACTAACGGAGCGCATAGACGACCTGAAGCAAAAGATCGCTGCTTGGGGGAAGCGGATTCGCCGATTTACCGAGAGGTCAAGGCGGTTTAACCAGAATCGTCTCTTCCAGAGTGATCAGAAGAGGCTCTACAAATCATTGGAGCGACCAGAGGTATGTGGAGCGGGCCCAGGACCGGATCAGGCTAACACTGTCGCATTTTGGCGCGGCCTGTGGTCAGAGCCCGTAAACCACAGCGAGGGCCCTTGGACGGAAGTTGCGGCGAGTCAGTGTGCGAGTATTACGCCCATGGACCCCGTCATCATAACGCCGGATGACGTAGCTGAGGCGGTCCTTAGAGCCCCGAACTAGAAAAGCCCGGGACTCGACGGACTGCATCACTACTGGCTGAAGGGGTTCATGGTGTGTTACGCTGTGCTCGCCCGTCAGTTTCAAGAGGCTCTCAACCAGAAGTCGCTCCCTAGCCTCTTCACTACTGGGATCACTCATTTGGTTCCTAAAGACCAGGTTACCACAGACCCGAGCAAATACCGCCCCATTACGTGTCTACCCACCATATATAAGACACTGACATCCATTTTGAGCGCGAGAATCACTCGTCACCTGGAGCTAAATCAGGTGATGTCACGCGCTCAAAATGGATGTCGGGGCGGTGGTCGTGGGAACTAAGGAACCACTCCTGATTGACGCGGTCATTAGCAAAGTGGTGAAACGCAACCGTCGGAACTTCTCCGCCGCCTGGATAGACTACAGAAAGGCATTCGATGGTCCCCATACTCTAAGTCCTCCTGTACAAGATAGACTGTACAGTGAGAGACTTCCTCGAGCAGTGTATGGGGCAGTGGAGTACGATCCTTTGTCATCTGGGTGAGCGGATGTTGGCTGCGGAGAACCACATAAGGATAAGAAGGGATATCTTCCAGGGCGATTGTCTGAGTCCAATCTGGTTCTGCCTCTCCCTGAACCCTCTCAGTACCTTACTGGAGGGATCGAAGGGAGTCGAAAAAGCGTGGGGAGGGGAAGGGGAAAGGGCAAAGAGGGCGTAGACTTATCTATGCCCGTCAACTTAAGGACCCTTTCCGAGGCTGAAATATACCGATACCTGGGTATGTCACAGAACATCGGTATCGATGAGGCTGGTGTGAAACAGTCAGTTTGCGACGTGTTTTATGCACGATTGACCAAAGTGCTTAACAGCCTTTTGTCCGGTGTGAATAAGGCACACGCATATAACGGCTGGGTCATGCCTGTCCTCATGTATTCCTTTGGCATACTCAGGTGGACTCAGACTGAACTTAACGCCCTGGATAGAAAAGTCCGCACTACCATGACGTCCCATAGGATGCATCATCCGAGATCGTCGGTAATGAGGCTGTACTTGCCGCGGAAGCATGGTGGGCGTGGCTTTCTGAGCGCGCTCACCATGCATAATCGCGAAGTGTGCAGCCTCCGTGATCACTTCCTGGCGAGATCGGATGATCCATTCTATAAGGACGTCATTTCTTGTGATAAAGGGCTTACCCCTCTATCCTTAGCCAACGAGCAATGGCAAGACCCAGCAGTGCAGAGCATTCCCGACCGGGAGACCGTATGGAGGGAGAAGGAGCTCCACGGGAGGTTCTACAAGGCTCTACATGAGCCTTTTGTAGACACAGTAGCCTCCCTCCACTGGCTACGCTTTGGTGACCTCTTCGGGGAAACCGAGGGTTTTGTCTGTGCAATACAGGATCAGGTTATTAAGACCAACAACTATCGGAGATACATCCTAAAGGATGGCACCATCGACGTCTGTCGAGCTTGTCGCCATCCCGGTGAGTCACTTAGGCATGTTATCTCCGGTTGTTCGGCGCTTTCTAACTCTGAGTACTTGCACAGGCACAACCTGGTAGCCAGAATTCTACACCAGGAGCTCGCTCTGAAATACGGTCTCGTGGATCGGAAATTGCCGTATTACAAGTACTTGCCGGAAGCCGTGCTCGAAAATGATCGCGCCAGGCTCTATTGGGACCGGGCCATCATCACAGACAGGACTATTCTTGCGAATAAGCCTGATATCGTGCTGATGGACCGGGCACAGTCAAGGATATTTTTGGTCGACATTACCATTCCGTATGACGAGAACCTCGTGAAAGCCGAAACAGACAAGCAAACAAAATATCTGGACCTGGCTCACGAGGTGACCGACATGTGGGGTGGTCTGCCGACCGAAATTATTCCTGTAGTCGTCTCTGCAAACGGGCTAATCCCAGTCAGCTTCTCGGGTCATCTGAGGCGGCTGGGACTACGTGGCGGACCGCTCCAGGTTCAAATGCAGAAGGCGGTGCTCCTCGATACCGCCCGCATCGTCCGCCGGTTTCTTTCCCTTTCCCCCTAACCCTCGGCCGTTTGGTCTCCCCTACCGAGGGCCTCCATCTGGTTGGGCTTTTATTTATTTATGTACTTTTATATTTATTTTATGTTATTGATATTTATGTATATTTATCTTTTCATTTTCATTTATAATTATATATTTATAGAACCCAACCAGATGAGAAAACTATATAGATACCCCACAATAATAATAGTATTTGATTTCCGCAACAATAGAATCAAGAGAATTTAGTTTATTTGCAATATTCTTGATTTCTTTTACCAATTGTGTTGGAGCTCTCTTTTCGTGTTCGATATCGGTTGAGTTTAGGCTTGATGAATAATGGCTGCGAGGGAGATTCAACGTTGCCCTTGTCACTGTTTTTACTTTGGGCACCGCCAGGTTTTTAAATCACCTATTTTACGGTATCCCGTTTCACTTATAGCTCCGCAATTGTAATTGAGACAACTCTTACAAAGACAACAATCCACTCCATCTGCGACTTGTTTTTTAGCATTTACTGCAAGTCGGCATAGTAGGCAATTCCGTAGTTTAAGACTCACTAACAAAAACGTAGATTAAATTAAAATGCACCTTCACTAAAATTAAAAACTTTATTTAAAGTTCAACTTTAGGTGTCGAATATAAGGTAGTTTTTACTCAGAAACTTTTAGGGATTGATTTTAAATCGGAGTAAGTACACACAATGTAATTGTATGTTAAGGAATATTGAATTAACAAATATCGTGGACAAGTATCGTAACTTCGAGGAAGTAAGGTTCCACGTATTTATTATATTTTCTTACTAATTCTACAAAATTAACCGTTTTCGCGATCAACTTCATTTCCGGAAAGTTGCAGCTCAAACGCAGTTGCAAGCAACTGCAAATATTTCATCCGAATCGCTTGCGAACTGCCAGAACTAATTAGAAATATAATTCCCATTCATAGTACATGCACGCGAACTGAACACCTGCGCTCTTTACTTGACAAATCATGTAATATACCATTTTAAAAGCATAGATTGTCATAACAACTAATTAGTTAAATATGTACATCCTCAAGTGAAGTAGCCTCCAGTACACCTTATTCTTATTTATCGGCCGATTACAAAAATCTCGGGCCTTAAATTTTCATCCTCATTATTGATCTAGACATTTATGGCGTAAACGAGTTTGTTATGCCACTAGCGACTTCAATACATGAGGATAATGAAATTTGAACTGCCATGTATCGGACCTGCTTAGCCGATTTAAAAAAAGGAAGTGGTTCAAACTTCTAGTGCATGTTAAAATTTTTGTATGTATGATGTTACTCGATATGTTCATCAATTGGCATTTGATTATAAATGTTCTTTTTTAATAAATAGATTATACTTCATATTATGTAGTTTTATATAGAGGCAGTGTAACAAATTCCATCCTTAAAGGTAGACAAAATAAGGGTTGTAAATAATATGATATTACATTGTGCGTGCAACTCCCGCCCTCCCTTAAGTGCATGCTTATCGCATATCTCCGTCACCACTAATCCCATCATAAAGACAGTGATGCATCTATATGTGTGAATTTACGTGGTAGAGCCACGCTGCAGCTATAATAGTTTTAGTAAGAATGGGGCAGCTGGACCTAGATACTATTATCCCTTCTCTCGCTCTCATAGTGCTCATAACTATGTGACGGCAATCCGACAAAGAGAAAGAAAGATAAGGCGTGGGACCTGGGATTAAATGGCTATACGTACGTTCCGAGACATCAGAGTTACGTAGAGCCACGCTGCAGCTATATTAGTAGTATGGTTGCAGCACGAATAGGTCGGCTCGACCGAGGAAGGACCGCGTTCTAACAGAATACGAGCGTTAAATTGCAACTTAACGCTGTTGTGTTTCGTATGGTAAGTGTAGAGAATATGGGGACATTTTTTATTTAAAAAGGGGTATTATATCGTAGTCCTCGGGGGACCTACCCGCCCTCACAATGCATCTGAATTTTGATTCTTAATCGAGGATAAATATAGATGTCTATACGCCACAGCATCCACTTACCATCAGGTGGACTATGTGTGTGTCTCTTATTCTAATTATTTAAAAAAATCGCAAATGTCGAAGATATCCTCCTTCTTTTTTTGAAAATGCTAAAACACTTTTTAATAGACAGTTTTAGTAGTATATTTCATCAAATTATTTTTCTTTTCTAGTGCACTACATTGTGGTGAGGTAAACTTGCGTGTTAAACACAAGCTTACCTCCAAAACATCTCCACTTTCGAAATATGCCAATATTTATTCCCTTTACATAAAATTCAGTACATCGTACGTGACAAATTTTCGAATTGGAATATTAACTTATACTTTTGACCCTCGATTATTTCATGGAATATATCAGAAACCTTGTCACGTTTTCCTCATTGTATTCAAAATGTTGAGACTGAAAAACTGAAATGTATTTTCTTTATTTAAAGTTCTTCCATATATTACTTGGCAAATCTTGATATATTTTCTTCTTTTATTCTATATTTCTACCTATTCATATTTTTTTTAAATTGAAGTTACAAACGCAGTTACAGATCACCTGATGATAAGTGGCTACAGCAGCCCATGGACAGCTTGTACCTAATTCATATAAGGCTGCTACAGTTGAACTGTCACTGAAGACTATTATGGATACGTCACTTCCCGTAATAAAACTAGCTATTTTTAACTTAAACCGGAAAACAGTAGTGCGCTGCTGTTTGGTGATAAAAAATAAAGTAGTTCCTACCCAGAGAGACTACTAGGCAAAAATAAAATTTAATTAATACATTATTCTGTATTGCATACGAGAAATAGAAATAATATTATATAAATCTATACGTGTATTAATAATATTGCACGTGGGAGAGCCATGCTGCAGTTATATAAGTACTATAGTTGTAGCACGAATGGGTCGCCTTGACCGGGAAAACACCACGCTCTCACAGAATACCAGCTTGAAATAGTGGCTTAATGCTGCTGTGTTTCGTAT